AATGCCGGTCAAATTAAACGGTTAAACGATTAAACGATTAAACGATTAAGAAAAATTTTAGGCGGTTCCAATCCCTATGCCTTTCACCAGTTTCGTTACCTTTCACCAGTTTCGCCACCTTTCGCCAGTTTTGCCACCTTTCACCAGTTTCGCCATTTTGTCTTTTGACTTTTTTTTGGCGAAACCTCTAGGTTTCGCCTAACAACTTTACATTAGAAGTTTCACTTAGCGAAGGTTTAATGTATTTTTCATTACGCTTCTTCCTAATATTTTCATTGCGCCTCCTCACCAATGTTTTCATTTCGACTCTTAATAATCTTTCATTTAGCCAATCTCTCATGCACCTTTTCCAATATTTTATTGCGCCATAGTCTCTCATATACTTTTTCCAATTTTCCAATATTTTCATTGCGCCCAATCTTTTGATGCACCTTTTTTAATATTTTACTGTACCCCAATCTCTCATGCACCTTTTTCAGTATTTCATTGCGCCTCTTCCCAATATTTTCATTGTGACTCCTCACCAATGTTTTCATTTCGCTACTTCATAGCCTTTTATTGCGCCAATATCTAATGCACCTTTTCTAATATTTTCATTGTGCCCCAATCTCTCATACACCTTTTCCAATATTCTTATTGCGCCTCTTCCCAATATCTTCATTGCGCCACTTCTACTCATTTCATTGCGCCTCCTCTAATCTTTTATTGCGCCCCTTCCAATCAGTTCCAAATATTTATCGTGCTCTTTCGATAAGTCTTAATCTTAATTTTACAGCCTGAGAAACAATATCTTGACAATACAATATTTAGTTAATTTTGCAATACAAATTTACATTATTTATAAAAATATTGTGACAAGTTCCATAGTCTATTAATCATGTAAATAAATTCATATCCGCCGATTTGATTTTTAGGGGACTTTTTTCGATAAACAGTTACACGAACTTTGCCACTAAGTGACGTGAAGAAAGACAAACGAAACATTCAATAAAAAAGTTTTTTAACCTCTGTGTATGAGATAAATAAGCAATAAATACTAAAATACAGCTACACTAAGCCGTAAAAGCAAGCACTATCACTAGTTGTTGAAGCGTTCGGATATTTTCGGGTAGTGAACGATCGGTCTGTCATTGAGAACGATCGGTTGTAGAATGGGTAAGGGTGAGTTCGGAAGCAATTTTTGAGGCAAACGGCCTTTTTAACTTACCTTTAGCTAATAATTAAACATGTAGATATTGCAATATTCTATATACTTAATTATGGATTCAAAGTAAGTTTAATAGACCCTTTGTGTAAAAACTTACTTTATAATAAATTTTAACGACAAATAATTCTCAATCATGATTGGCTAATTTTGGGGTCAAACCAAATTAGCCGATATGATACATGATGTACGTGATTTTCTGAATTTATCCATATTTACAGAAATTGATCGTATGCCATCTGGCCAGGTTGCTAAAAATTCATCACCGCTTTTTTGAATATACTGTAATTTATTAAAAGGGATCCACTCAATCAGATCCTCAAATTCTGTGGTCTCAAGTTGAAATTTTTTAATGCAATAATCAATTGCGTTATTTCCGCTGGTCCATACTTGAATCGTTCTATGAGGGTCACACGTTTGGCACCAATCTGGTGATGTGTTATATCGATTACAATATGTACATTTACCATACCACCCATTTCTTTTGGAATGAAATTTATCAAAAACCAACATATAATCATTAGTAGCTTTGTTTTGAGTTAGTCCATATACTTTAAGCTTGTTATCTTTTATATAGTTCTTAATCTTTTCAAATGGATAAATTTATAGTTTATAAGCGCATAAAAAATACACATAGTAATAAAATAAACAGATTTAATTCTATATCTTACCTCTTCAATACCGTTTAATATTTTAAGGTTAATTACACATTGTATACGTGATTGTAAATCTCTATAAATGTGTTCACTATGAATTGTTCGTATGCCATCTAGCCAGGTTGCTAAAAATTCATCATCATTTTCTTGAATGTTATCTAATTTGTCAAAAGGAATCCACTTAATCAGATCCTCATATTTTGTGGTCTCAAGTTGAAATTCTTTAATGTAATCATCAATTTCTTTATTTCCGCTTGTCTGAGGGTGGCACCAATGTGGTGATGTGTTATATCGATTACAACGTGCACATTTTCCATTTTCATAACTTCGTTTTGAATGAAATTTATCAAATACCAACATGTACTCATTAGTAGCTGTGTTTTGAGTAGTCCATATACTTTAAGCTTTTTGTCTTTCATATAGTTGTTAAACTTTTTTAATTTGAAAATATAATTTATAAGCACTTAGAAATAAAATGCATATAATGATAAATATATATAGATTTTATTCTATATCTTACCTCTTCCAATAGGTCTATTGGACTTTGAGAATTATGCAATATTTTAAGGTTAATTACA